TTTTCACCTTACCGTTCTGCAAGTCAAGGGCTAGGTATTCAGTAACTGGAGTGCTAGGTAGTCAGTAACTAGTTTCTGGAACTTCAGAGATGAAAACAACTGTTCAAACACCTTCAAGTCAGCCGACTCAGCAGCCATTCCGTTACAGCGCCCTTCGGTTCTTTCAAGTCAAGCGCTAATGAGTGTAAAGGGGAAATTCATCCACTGACTTAGCTCTTGCGAGCATCTATCCAAGTGTGTCCCACCCTGTACCAAAAGGTTCCATGGGGGACACGGCATCCATGACCCACCGTGCGCAACGAAGCTACAGTCATGGATGGGAAGGGAAGGCTGATCAACTCTTCGCCTTGCGGTTGCACCAAGTCAAGTGTCTTGCATTGTTGGACTATCACTTGAATGAACCTCTATCCAAGCGCGTAGTGCACTACTACGCTTTCCCACTTGGGTGCGTAGTGTGATCCTCGCAAGGGGCGCCAAAACCGTCGTGGACTATCACTTGCGGCATTTCCGTTTATGCCCGAGACGATTCCTATCTGCCCAGCTGCTTTGCAAGGATCGCCTGAAAGAATGCTGACGAGGCTCACGGCAATTTCACAGAATAACCAAGTTTGAGTACCTGTCTTATCATGCGCCTTCATGCGACCTCTTGATGTTTCTTTGAGGGTCCCGAATCTTACTTCAGCGGGGCCACACGGCATCCATGACCCACCGAGTGCAACGAAGCTACGGTCATGGATAGGAAGGGAAGGCTGATCACCTTCCTGCGCCTGCTTTGGCTTGAACTTTTGACCTAGAAGTGACCCGACTTTTCCTGCCGACTTTCCCTTCAAATTCCCCCACTACTGCAGCCGCCGCGCTGTTTCGTCGTTTACGCTGATTGATTGCAGAGATCGACCTTTTTTCAAACAATACCTGCTGCGGACTCTTCGCCTTGTGGTTACACCAAGTCAAGTGTCTTGGCATTGTTGGACTATCACTTGAATGAACCTCTATCGTATCGAAGTGCAATGGAGGCGCCGCGCGACGTCATGCCCTGTGTTGGTAGAGGGCGTGAGGCCTCACGCTCACGCTCACGGACTCGGGGTACACTAAAAGTGGACGACGCCACACACCTATTTTCCACCTCGCTTCGGCCTGTCCCAGGCTTCGACCGACACTTACCCCCTTTTGGCGCAAGTGTTCGGCCTCCACACGGCGCTCCGCGATGCGCAGTCAGCATCTTCTCGGAGCGCTTTGGCTTCCGCCGTGTCTCTCAAGGACCAATCATTGTCCGAGATTGACACCATCAACTTGCCATTGCCCATCAGCTTGGTCAAGTCGTCCGCGATGTGGTCATTTTCGGGGACCCATCGCACCAGGCGGCTGGCATCGCCGCAACGTCAATGGCCAAGCGGCGATCCTCCCCATATCCAGCTCCGTTCAGCTCATGGCCCGCGCGGCTGTCCAGGACCGTGGTCAATCGCCAGTGCGCCACATGCATCAGCCACTGGTCGATATTGAAGCCGACGTAGAGAGCCTCTGCCATCACCGCTCGCAAGAAGTCGGCCTGGTCCAATGCTTCAGCCGCTTGACTGATCTCACCCGCCAAGCTAGAGCGCACCACTCTCTTCAACAGCGCCGAATGAAACGTGACCGGCGTGCACTGCTGCTCCTGTTCGGCCCTCGAGCAGGTCTGGGTGAGTGATCAAACAAACGGCTCCTCCTTGGCCGCAACGACGAGGCATACTGCCGAAGCTAGCATCCGAGGCCGCCACCAGATCCCAAGGGCTTGAACCTCATAGTCTTCACATCATTGGCTCGCTCAACTAGGCGCCTCGGCATTGCCTAGCCAGCCAGGCCAGTTGACCACACACATGTCCCAAGTTGGAGGTGAGCTCGGCGCCATCCTTCTCCACTGGGTTGTTCTTGGTTCTCTTGGGTGGGTACTGCAGCTTCTCGCAGTAGTCGTCCATCTGCACCTCAACAGTCCTATCTGGTAGCTGGCGCTCATACCTGCCGCAGAACTTTGCCCAATCCTCGGCCACGTTGCGCCATTCACCAAAGGTGAACTCGGACTTGAGGGCTTCCCAAACCGGCTTGGCCTTCTGTGGGTGACCAATGAGTCTAACGTCGTCGACATGGCAGGCATTCATGGCCACAATCTCTCCGTGGACGAAGACCGAAAATACTCAGGGATCAACAGCCACTCCTTGGCACCCAACTTGGTCAGTGTCTTCTCCAGCTTTTTGGACCACAAACGAGGTGACTCGGCCAACCCAAAGCCCCCTTTAGTAAAGCGGACCAAGTCGGGGCGAGCACCTCGAGGAAGTTTGGAGCCAAGGAAGCGTTGAACAAAGTCGGGATAGCCACGGGGAATGGCGACCAGCACTTTGCAATCCGGATGAAGGTTCTCGCCTTGCAAAAGGGCAGCAGTAATGTAACCGAAGAACATCGTCCAGCCCAATTGAGAGGCGAAAAAACATAACAGGTTGTGCGCCACCGAAGTTGTAGGAGCTTCGGCCTCCCAAAGTCCAGCTTCTTTGTCCCGAGCCTTCAACCGTGCATCTTCCAGCTGCTCATCCAGAGGACTGACGTTGTGAGGGTCAGATTTGTTGACGCATTGCACGCGTCGATCTCCTCGTCTTCAAACACCGGAGCAACAGCGTCGTACTTGAAGTACACATCGAGCGCGTCCCTGATCGGCTCTTCAAATGCTTGCTTCCAAGCTGGCGAGAGGCTCGCCCACTTCAGCTCCAACCTCGCCTTTCCTGTAGGTAAGTCTTGTATGTCTGCAAGTGACACTGGCGCAGCTGCATCTTCTGTGGCGTCACCAGACGCTTGATCAGCGGAAAGTTGCCCACCATGTCCGTGACGTCAGCCTGCAAGACAAAGACCTCGTTCCAATTGACCTTGTAGTTGTTCTTGTCCTGGAAGTGGAGGCTCATCAACTGCTGTGCGGATCGCCGCAACTCCTCGAGCAAAGCCCTGGCATTCAACCATTGACGCAAATCCAAAATCAACGGAGGCTTCCTAATGCAGAACCGAGCGAAGCCTTGCCACTTGTGCCCTTCACTGCGCAATGCAGGATTGCACCCTTGCCACCTGAAGTTGTCCACCACCACCTCATAGGCGTCCGGGAAGTAGATCCAGGTGACTCTCGGGCCAACGAACCAATCCTCTTTGATCGACGCTCCTGCAGCACAAATAGTTGGTCTCGAGGACATTGATGCACCCACCAGAGCTCTTTCATCTCAGGGTCGTAGATCCAGAAGTCTTGTTCCGGCCACTGTTCTCGGGCCCTTCATCAGCGCCTGCATTTCTCTGAAATCGGCAGTGTCAGAGCTGGCGGCATCTCTGGCAGCATACTACCCACATTTTGTTTGGGAGTATGAACGTAAGGCACGGGAGTCGGTGGTGTAGTTCACCTCATTCGCATCCTTCACCACCACCTGGTTTGGCTGAAAGCTGACGAAGTGTCTTGGTGGCATCACGTCCACCGCACCCGGCCTGGCACCCAAGGACTCACAAAGTCCGGACAAGTTTCGAACTCCTGCGCAGCCTTAGCCAGCAGAGCTTCTCCATCGCCATCACGCCAAACTGTGTCTGGCGGAGACTGCAAAGGCAACACCACATAGGATTCGAACACTGGCTCCACACCACTAGCGCTGTTCTTGGGACCTTCGAGCTCTTCGGATCAGCTTCAGCTGTGGCCTTGGCATCTCCTTTCTTCTTCTTCTTCTCTTTCTTGTCGCCACTTTCAACTGCCGTTGCACGGGTAGAAGGCCAAGAAGTCGAAATAGTTCCGGTAGAAGGGGAAGAAGTCGAAATAGTCCTGTCGGGGGCCGTGGAGGAACCGGGTTTGCCTTCCAGCCTTTGCTTCATCTCTTGCAGGTGATGTTTGGCGCATTGAGCTGCTTGTGCCAGAGAGAGCTTCGGATCGAAGCGTTGTTGACGCTTCGGGTCAGGGGGCCGTGCAGTGACATCGGAACATCATCCAGGGCTGAGCTCACCTTGGGGTCCACTTCATCGACGTGCTTGGGCTCCTCATCAATTTGAGAGTTTTATGATGGGGTAGTTCTTATCGGTCATGTGTGGGAGGCCTGCACTGATGGCGGCCGTCCTTGAGTTCCTTCTCAATGTTGGAGAAGGCCTCCATGGAGATGTTCTGAGCCTCCAACTCATCAGCCACGGCCAGGCGCGCGAACTCCAGCGGCAGACCCTTCAACTTGTTGCGGTCGAGCCCACACCCTCAATTGATACTGCCCTCCTTTCTCTCAATCGCTGCCACAATTCCGGACCAGTCCAACTGATGTCATCCTGAAGCCGTCGAGATAGTCCTCGCCGATTCGCTGGGGGTTCCCAGAAATGAGCCTGGCATTCTTCTGATAGCAGCTCTAATCGAGGAAGCCGTGCTCAAGAGGAAGCTGCCCTCTTGATAGCTTCACGCGACTGCAGCCAAGTGAAGGCATTCAGGTGTGTCCCTTCTCCAGGACGTCCATGACGTTGCCCGGCATGGAATTCTCTCAGCCGAAAAGCAGCTGAATTGCGCTGAAGCCGGACACGCGGGCCTGGTAGTTCCTGGCCGCTGTGGCCGCTGTCACCGCTGACTCCAACCCGATCACCGTCTTCTCCTTGACAATCTTCATGATCATGAGCTTCAACACCGCTCCATGTCGTGGAACCACTTCCCCCGTCCGTCATGATGGTCATCGGGGGGCCAAAGATTCGAATCCAGCGATCTCTCACTCTCCGCATACTTGAGCGACTGGGCATCCCACACGAAGAATGAGTCCACGCACACGTGCTCGTTGAAGACGGAAGGCCGCTTGAATGAAGCCTTGGGTGGGGTAGTGGGCGACAGAGCATATCCCACACCGCATGTTCTTCACTGCTGCGATGATCGTCTCTTTCGATTCAAGGCTAACATCCGACATAGTTTATCTGCTCCAATGTGCCCCAGCGCCACGTGCAGATGTGCAATTGTCCCCCTCATCTTCCGACTTAAGGTGGCGCTGGAGCCAATGATGACATCCTCATCCTGCATCAGGTTCATCTGCTGTCCTGCTGCGGCTTCTGGTTGCCTCTCTAATCAGGGACCTCTTCATCTAATAGGAAGTTCACCTCCTCCGTCCACAATTCACTCATCTTGGCCAGCGGGTTGAAGACGCTGTCCAAGAGCCACTTGGCCACGCCGCAGCCAAATCCGACCGGCGACGTGTTTGCCACTGTCCATCAATCTTCACCCTTCAATCACTTGGTGTTCCTCAGGATGATGTCCACAGGCGATGTCCTGCCAGAGAAGAACCGACGGGTGGTTACCTTGGAAAGCAGTAGGCTTCTTGTGTGGCCGATGCGTCACTCGATCTCGAAGACCTAGCATGCATTGGTCAACGTACTTGGTGTACACTTGACGTCGTCGATGCATCTGTGGGAGGTTCAAGAGGTGGACAGTTCCCTGGCGCAACCGAAATGCGCAGCGTGCAATGTAGCGAAGCCAGGGCATATTGGCTTTCAACCACTTTGGTGAAACGGCCTTGTCTTCTAGTTCGCAGATCAAGGCGTTGACCCCCAAGCCAAGTGGGGAACCACGGTCCTCATCCAGGTCAACAATGATCTTGCTCCCCAATTCTTCCACAGTCCAGTAGAGATCGTGACAAGCAGCTTGAAGGGGCGGTCGCATGAGCCCGGACTCCCTGTGCATCTATACTCTATGTTCGATGGGTCCGGGTTGTCTCTGCGCTAGTAAATCCCACTTGTGTCAACAGCCGCGGGCCACATCACTGCCGTCAAAGGTAACATTGGCCGAGTACACCACATTCGAAGCATGGATCGAGGTCTTCTTGCGAAGTGGACATTCCTGAGACCAATGTCCCAGCTTGCCGCAGAGGAAACTCTGTCTCCTGTTGTTTCTTCACCCATTGCTTCACACGCTCAGGCTGTTGGCTGCTGTTCTTGTCCTTGGTGAAGTACTGGCGCATCTTGCGCAACTCTCGCGCCTTGTTCCGCGCCTGTGCTCCTGAGCATAGATCTCCAACAAAGGCGCCTCTCCTGATTCTGAGCTGCTCGCTCCATTTCCGGACGCCGGTTCCTGGCCGTCTTCTTCCTCATCCAGGCTGTCGTCACCCGGTTCCCACCACGCATAGCGGCCAGAATCTCCTTGGCTTCCAAGTTGGCGTCCTCTCCATCATCTCCATGATAGCCACCAAGGCCTCACGGAAGCGCTTCTTGTTGAAGAACCGTCGCCTGCGAACTGGTGTAGTAGCTGGCTGCAAAGCAGGTGTGGTAGAGGCAGTCGTGGTAGCACCACCCTCGTTTTGGACCAAGTATGTCCAAAAGAGCTTCACCCTTCCCAATAGGGAAATGCGGTAAGCCTTCCAGTTGCTCAGCCAGGCCCAAGAGGGCCAGCGTGACCGGTTCTTCATGCTCCAAGCTGCCGCCCGCGGCCGCCTTAAAAATAGCCAAGTCACGTTTGGTCAGCTTCGCGGCGTCCAGCAGATGGCCAATATAGAACTTGGAGCCGACCGTGTACTCGGGCGAGGACTCGATTCAAGAATTATTTTTACGGACTCCCCCGACAAGCGTCCCAGGCGTCCAGAATCTTGATGATTGGGCTCTTCTCCATTGTCTGGCGGATGATGTTGATGCCATTCTCAGCGGCCACCTCGGTCGCCGACGCTGCACGATCTTGCGGCTGGCTCTTTCAACTGCTGCATCAGTCAAGGGCCTTGCACCTCCGCAGGCAACGACTTCCCTTTGGAGGCTAACCAGAACTCAACCGTCCGCCAGTACTCCTGCCAAGAGTCGAGCATAGAAGATGGGCGCCAAAAACTCCACCTTGTCCTGAACCGGCCAGCGATCGAAGGCTGTCCGCTTGGCACTACCCAGTGGGGCGGTTCACATGATCCTTCATTCGCACTGTCGGCGCCGCCGACAACGGAGACATCACACCAGCCCGTCACCTCCAGGATCTCCTGCAACATGTACATGTCCTCCGTCCGAATCATAACCCTCATATTCTGCCGAAGGTCGTACTTGTCCAAAGCAGAAGAACTCATGGTCGAAAAATAGCGGCCCGCGGAGCTCTTGCATCGTTCGCAGCACTGGTTGATGACTGTACCGAACAACTAGTCCAGTGTCCCTGACTCCACGACCACTAGGACCATTGATCACCCCAATTCTCATCCTTCCAGCACCCATACCCCAACATGTCTCCCTAACCACGCCGATCACAATGATCCAAGCCCCAATGAACTGGCCGACCACGAAGCATCCCGCGAGCGGCGTCCGCCATCCATTCTCACTTTCACCACTCTCCTCTTCCCAGCTCTCACCCAAGCCGTCCATCCCACCCAATGCAGTCGCTCCTCCACATAGGCAGCCATTGCCGCTCGTTGGTGATCTCGCAAAAACTCCCCTTCTTGTCCTGAACTCGAGTCCTCCACTCGAGCCGCGGCCCATGGGTCAAAGGCCAGGGAGGAGAGGATAGTCACTTGGTGGGGACGCCGAACTGGTAGTCGAGGATGTAGGTCGCCCTCGTCGAAGGTCCCTGATGAAGGGAGTAGGGACCTCCAACAGCAGCGGCGCCTCTTCACCAGTCGCTCCATGGCCCAAACCTGGTGGAAAGCCCAAACCTACCTACAGCCCCCTATCACGGCTCCGCTACCACTAAAAGTGGACGACGCCACACACCTATATGGGCCTGTCCCAGGCTTCGACCGACAGGAACAACACTTGTTAGAGGAGTAACCGAGCAGAAGAATCGTAGTACGATTTTTCTGCCAAGTTGGTCCACCTCTCTGGCGCTGGCAGAACTTACAGCAGCATATATGTTTCATAAAATTCAAAGCCGTTGCAAAAAGAGAGGCCGCCAGTCATCAAAATACGGAGGCCGCTTCGAGATCTTCTTTCCCACAAAAAGCAAAACGTGGCATCGCGAAAATGATGATTCTTCGACATCCAATCCATGTATTCGTGAGCTAAAGGAGAACACTCTCGACGGGAAAGCACCATAACACAAGCAAGCTAGAAGTATGAAAGTTGTCTTCAGTTTGACGTGGGACTCTGTCAGCAAGGCAATGGCGCCCAACTGCTGAAGGGGCCATGACTCTTCCGCAAAAACAAAATCGGTGCAATCAGAAGAGAGAAGAGGTCTGTCGCGTGCGAGTTCCGCAGTTGCCAAAAGCTTTAACTGTCATCGGTGGTGAAAGTGAAACTAGCACATTAAAGGAAGAAAAGAAGGAAGAGAACTGGCACAGCTCCTTTCTGACACGTTTCTACAACTGGAGGCCTGAAGTTACCAAGCGTTCCAGAAGTTTTGCAGGGCAGCACCAAGAACGACCATTGTCCTTGTGAATTGCGCTGCTTCTATGCCATTTGATTGCCAGCGCAGGCAACACAGTGGTTGTCCATGACAATGAGCTGCAGCAGAGAAAAAGGAAGAAACGAACCATACACACAGCATCTGGAAGAATCTCTGCACTGAAATGCGTTCCCTCTCAAAGCGCGTA